CACCAAACAACAAAGTTTTGTTTACAAACAAGCAAAAACAACAAAATTGACAATGGTTGGAAGCAAAGCATGGTAGCAGCATCATGCAGCAGTGGTTCATGAATTAGACAGTTATAACAGCAAAATGGTGAATCCTAACATGACAATGCTAGCAACAATCAACAAATAGTCCTAATACCTCATGCACATAACAACTCACAAGCTTATGACAATAGTATCCTATAACAATAGTGCTATGACAATTGAGCTTACAACAGAATAATCATGACAACTTAACATAACCATTCAAAACATTGATCAATGATGCTTAGAAGCAGTTTCATGACAGAATACAAACATGATTTACAAGACATCAAAACATACATATATGCTTACCACAGTTGACAATACAAGCATGATATGGTTATGTCATGATAAAGAAAAAATAGCCCTACTACAATGCCTAATGCTGACAGCACTGATGTAAGATGAACATGATAATGTCACTTATCTTAATAAAACATGTTTCAAAGAATACCACATTCCCATGTTAACAAACATAAACCAAACACACAGCAATAGTTCAAGTTATCACAGGGGTAAACTTAGCATGACAATGGCAAGCAACAAATTTCAATGCATATTTCAATGATGGTTACAACCCTATGACAACAAAATAAGTATTGGTCATCAAAACTTAAAACAAACCTCAACAGTCACACGAATCATTCCAATGATTTTTACCAAGTACAATAGAACTATACAACTTGGCAGCACATTCAAAACAAAATGGCACTATTGATCATCATAGGTTAAGATGTGTTTCAACAGCATCTATGTGAATCACTTCAATATTGGCCAAGACTAAGTTAAACAACAAGCAGTTTTTCAAAACAGTTGAGATGCAATTTCAAAACTTGAGTGCAAAACTAACATGCTTGTACTGGTTCAAAGGTGTGCACACATTCTAAATATGTTATAGACAAAGTTCCACAGAAGGATGCATAAAAAATGTGCTAGAATTGAAAATGATGTGTAAGCTGCAAAAATGCATTTTGATTGAAAGTGGTCAAAACAGAATGTTGCAGATCCAGAACCAAACAAGTTTCAAATAATACAATTTCAAACATCAGATGAATCAAACATATAAGGACTTCTAATCTAAAATGCCAGCAAAAAGATTCAAGATCTAGAGATGCTGCTTGCAACAGAACCAAATCAACATGATCATATCCAACATCAATAGTTAATGCAATGCCTTGAACCAAAACATGTAGTATCCATTCAACAATAGTCATGGCAAACATCCACTTATGATTCACATCAAACTACAACAATACATAGCACTACACATATTGATGAGCAAAACAAACAAAGTATGGCAGATCCAAACATGAACTGCTCTTGCATTTAAACTCATTCCAACTAATGCACATTAAACATACTCATGACAGTTTAAGATGAAGATAGTGACCACCAACCTCTTGTAGACCTCCAAGCAAGCTTATACAGTAGGGAAAACCTTGAAGACTCCCAAATGAGATCCAACCAATGCTTTGATGAAAACAACAACTTTTCTTGCACTTGAAGTAAACAAGTGAACCTTATGACAGAACTTAAAACAAGTGATGATGAAGGTATTTTAGGTTATGGATAGTTGATACATCATAAATCAAAGGTGTTTGGAGGGTTAAAGTGATCAAAACAGGTCTGAGCAGAGATTTATCAAATTTTGTGTGTAAAGTCAAACTTTTCTTAGTTGAAAGTTGACTCTTGAGAAAATGAAGTTTTTGACTGGTTTAAGAGTTTGAACACCTCCCACACATCATTTGTGGATTATGTAGATGGTTTGTGATGATTTTAAGTGGGTGGAAATGGTTTTGGAAGGCTAAATGCTCAAGGCAGATTTTTGAGGAGTTTTTGAATGGTTTCTTCACTTATAAGAAACACAAGGTAAGATTAGAGCTATGGTTTTATCTTGGGTTTTAGAGTGCTATGGTGTGTGTTTCAACATAGAGGAAACCTCTATTTATAGGCAAGAAATGGTTTGGGGCAGATTTGTATTTTGGCTTTTAGAGGGAGTTTTGTGATGAAATCTTGTTCAAGATCATGGACAGCTGCACACTCTAGTCCTTGGCTCAATGCAAGGCATAAATCAAGTGGTAAGGAGGACATGGAAGTGATTGAAGTGAAGCTAGAGAGTAGGAGAGACTGCTGCTACATTTTTCTTGAAAAGTTTCTCTTTCTTCTTGATTTTTTGATTAAAATAATGACAACTTGCATACAATTTGCAAGGTCCACCAAATCTCTCCATTTTCTGCATTTCTACTCATCATACTCTCTAATTATCAGATAGAAATATGATCAAATGGCTGAGAATGCTTCAAGTGATTAAAAAGTGAATTTGTGAAAAAGTGGAAATGGTGAACTCAAGTGTTGAGACCTCAACTTGCTGAATTCATAACTCTCAACTCATAAGGGCTATGGAGGAGTTCTAGTACATTTTGGAAAGCCCTCATGAAGCTCTACAACTTTCATGCTTTAATGATCTTCATATTCCAAGTAGAACTAGGTCAAAAATCCACTCAAAGTTGACTAAAACATGCCTAAAAAGGCCAGCAACTTAGAATTTCTAAGTGTTTTTTCCTCTTGTAATGATTTTGGCCATAACTCCAAATCTATGAATTTTCTGCCCATGGACCACTGTTAGACTTTTGTAGGACTTGCCAAGACCTTTCCAATGAGTCTTGAACCAACTCAATTGGATGTGTGGTTAGGGAGTTATGGTCTTGCCCTTTTCAAAATCCTAATTTCACGATTTCTGGATTACTCCTCAATCCTTGATCCAATGGTCATGAAACTTCATGGATAGGTGTAATATGTTACTAGTAACATTTTTGCATCATACTTTGAGGTCAAATTCCTTATGATTGAAGAGTTGACTTTTTGGTCAACCGAACGATCGATTGATGACTACCACGTCGACTGTTGATGTTCCAGGTCTTTTGAGGCCTTGAAACTTCTTGAGTAGAACTCACTAAGCCATATGAACTTCATGGACCATGATCCCACCTTTGGAACACCATTTAAATTAAAATTCAAACTTCGGTTGACTTTTCCTGATCGAAAACCCTAATCGGGTATCCTGAACTGCACTGTTCTTGATCTTTGGGTGACAACCTCAAATTGGGTTCATATTTGACCCAATGGATTATATTTGATGATGTGGAGACTTATTTCATGGAGAATCAATCCAATACATTGACTGATTAAACCATCGAAACCTCGATTCCCGGCTGTACGGAACCCTAATTCACCTGTATCTTAACAAAGACAAACTTGGAATAGGTTAAGGTTAGATAATCAAATGAAAATGATCCTATAATGATGATGAAGATCTAAGGGGTCAAAGTTTGGGGTGCAACAAGGTCCAAGATGACACTTCATGCCATCATGTTTCTTTTCTCGTTTGGTGGTTACAACATTGACTTTAAAAAGATCAGCAACATTAGATTTCTCCCTTTCCCTCAATTCGAAGGTGTTTCTAGATTTTCTTTAGAGAGAAGTCCTCAGAACTTTGTTGTAATTTATTTCTATAGCCTTCCTACGAAGGTGTTAATTTTACAATGATTGTACCAACTTGAATGGTCTCAGAAATATCTATTTTCATAACTTTTATTTTATTCACGAGAACCTGTAACTCATACATTTGGGAAAGAATGAGCTTGGAATTTATAAAATTTAAATCAAAGTATTTAGAAATTAAAATTTTCTCCGTACCTTTCTCTTTGGCCTTGAATTTAAACTTGAGTGCTTTCCAGATTTTTGTTGCAGACTGAGTATCTGTATAGAGGTCGTAGAGACTATCAGATAGCATATTCAAGATATGTCCACGGCATAACAATTCATCCTCTTTATGTTTCTTACCCCCCCTCTTTACGTTTCTTACGCTTAGTTGATTCAAGAATTGGTGGTAAATTAGGATCTAAGACATAGTGAACCTTCAGAGAGGTCTGTAGGAATGCCATCTTATCTTGCCATCGTGTATAGTTGGTTCCATCAAAGCGATCCAACTTGACAAGATCTTGGTTCATAATTCTGATGCTTGAAATTGCAACGTAGCAAACCATTATTTGAATAATTTTAAGCCTGTTAGAAATATCGATAAAGTTGAATGGATTCAGGTATGAATCGTGAATGGTGTCACTTTTTTTAAAAGTATTTCAAGCGCTCGATTCAGGTCTGGATCGTGAATGGTGCCGCTTTCTTTAAAAGTATTTCAAGCGCTCTCAAATATGTCTCAGAGTTGAAACGCAGTATCTAGGATAATTTGAATGAAGTATTTATAGGTCATGTATGTGTTATTTCACAAGGTTGCAATCCTTGATGAAACAACATTTTTTAATTGAAAGTTGCATTGTTTCCGCCAGAGCGCCACCGACACCGCCTCATAATGTCGCAAAAGTTCTCAAGTGCCGCTTACAAGTCGCCACTAGCGCCTCTACGCCCACGTCTTCGGAGTCGGTCCCGGAGTCGGAGTTGGTGGCGACTGACAACACATGCGAAGGATGTATGGAGGAGACAAGTGACGTAATGTTAGAGCTCACCACATTTGTCCATTTCACTTTTCTTATTATCATTTTAGAAGATAGACATTGAATTTATGAATTTATAAGAGAAGTTTCAAAAGTATTTAAAGTCTTTATTATTCTCATTTCATAATATATTACGAAATATCTCTAGAAGCATATATAACTAAAAAAAGCTTCTAGGTTTAATTCTCTTGACTAAGTAATTCTAGACATAATACTCTTGAAGCATGAAACTGTATCCATATAATGCATGACCTACGTTAATTTATACATGCTACACAGCAGAATTTCTAGTCATATATGGCCCTACATATTTGATGAAATCGATGCAAATATCATGTCTTGGTAGGAAGTTGGAGAGTCAATTTACATTTATGCCTCTGGATCTGGAAGATCACTGGAGAAAATAATTTGATTTTGCAGTTCTGATTAAGGTTCCAATTGAGAAGTGACATTAACAAAGACCTCTTCTCTGCAAGGAATGGTGAGACCACCCATTGGATGATTAAATCCAAATTCTTCTTCAGCTTTACAAAGAAATTGTTGAAAAGCAGGTTGATGCAAATATGATATTGGAACCACAAATCTCTTCTTTTTCTCTTCTCCAACATATACTGCTAAATATCCTTTTGGTATATTACTATTAGCTGACAACACTTTTTTACCTCTTGAAAGTGTGCGGCAGAGGATATGCTTCTTAGCTTGCATCATCAAAGGTAAACGAAATGCCATTATTTCTTAAAACAAGTCGATAACAAGTTTTGAAGAAAAATAACTAGTTGATAGAAAATGTGAAAACATGAATATGAAGGATTTTTGAAATGTTACATGTGTATATATAGTGAGGTCAACTTCGGAAGCAACAGAGTCAAATTAATATAGACTAGACATATAACACGAAGGTTCTGTGGTTCAAATTCAATGATTTGTTAAGAAGTTGACTGTGATTTATAGATTCGACATGTAAATAGCAAAACATTTGCCTAACAATTTGGTAGTGGGTGCAGGAACTTTCCTCTAGACAAGGGTAACGCATACGTATACAAAGAACAAATCTAGATTCAACTAATTGATAGATTTTTTAGCCTTCTTATATTAGACATTTAGCATAGTAATGTATAAGAAAGTAGCTAGATAGGATGGAATATTTGGAATATTTTCTAATGATACCATAACTAAATGTGACACTGTTGAAACCTAATTTGTAATCAAACAAATATCTTCATAGGCCTAACCTTTTTAAAATTGATTTAACTTGTTACTGTTAGCCTCTTCAAAGCTCTATCATCAGAAAAGTCTAAACTTAACGTATAATGAAGGGTAAGGTAAGATATAAAAAATCTACCCATGTTGATTAACCATGTACAACGTTTTGGATCTAATGCAACGCCATTTTCAAAATAGCATAAAAAAATGTTTCATAATTTGCAATAGATAACACTCTTCATTATGCGGAGAGCGATCCTTGAATGGAAAAATGTTTAGGATACGATACATTTTGATGCATATATCTATCCAAAGTTTTAAAGCTTTGGAATTATGCCTCATTTCTTTTATATATCAAACATTTTATTCATTTTTATTTGACGTGTAACTTTACTATTCACATTAGAATCTCAATAATTTTTTTCACAAGTGTTAGTCACCCGCATCACTAGTCTTGATCCATACTAAGATCCAATTCCACTCCCTCACCGAAGCTAACCAGACTCTGATACCACTTGTTGGGGAGTTTGGAGAGGGAAGCGACGAAAGTGTCAATAGACTAAATATTTAGAATTCAATAGACCTTGACACCACATATTGGGGTTCAAGTGTGAGTAATTAATTTCCACATCGACTAAAAATTGAGGAAAGACACATACCCACCAATGCCTTAAGGTTTTGGATAGATATGTGGTGTTAATGTCTCTTGGATCATAACAGTTAAACCCATTGATACTTATGGCGCTCCGCCCCTCAGACTTCGCAACAAAACCAAACGTCATAAAATACCGAAAGAATGAAGAGTATCAAAAGTTCTCAAGATAAACAAGCTTAACAAAGCCTGGGAAGAAAAGAAATATAAAATGAAAAAATTAAAACACGTCAGATAAGCCAAACAAACCAACCACCTAACTCGTCTTGAAGCATGGGACATACAAAAACACTAGAGAGTGCAAGATGGAGGAAGGAAACACTACTAGAAAATACACATTCGATAACATAATATTACTACAGTCTTGCCATCCATCGTTGTAATATATGAAATTGGATGCGCCTAATGGGTATTTTGTTACAATTGATAGACACAAATGTGGTGAAAGAGTGAGTGGTACAAAGTTGAATCCTGACAACTATATTTTTTTTTTCATTTTTCTTATTACAAAAAGTGTGTGTCACTTAAACTCATAAATAAATAAAAACTTGAAGATTATTTAATCACAGATTTAATATGCAACCGTTGTAATATTATCTGTACAACCTTGTTCTTCTCTAAACAGAGAAACGCTCTTTCCAACTATAATGATTATTGGATTTTTTTTTTCATTTTTCAAGATGTTTACAATTTCATTCAAGAATATCAATCATTGGAAGTAATTATTACGAGCATTAAATCATCAGATCTTTCATCTTCAACCTCTTCTATAAATACGCAGTTTCATATAATGAATTTCCACTTCTTCAAAACTATTCTTCTTAACTACTTATAGTAACATGAGTTCTCCATCTAAAAATGTTAACATAAATATCTCAACTGAAGTCACCACAGTACAACACCATGATCAACAGTCAACTAAGGAGGTCCAGCCATCTGGATTGATTGCTGTCAAGGATACACTTAGGGTTAGGAAGGCCAAGAAGAAGAAGAAGATGAAGAAGAAGAAGAAAAAACGTGTCCAGGAAGATTTGTTACTATGATTCTGACGAGGCTTATGAGGAAAGAGTCATAGATTACGAAGATTCATTTGCTATTAGGGGATATTGTTCCGATATTGAAAAAATTATGTAATGAAATAACTTATGTACTCTGCCCTCTTGGCCCTCTTAATGAAGTTATTTATTATTATTATTATTATTATATATATTCTTTCATTTATACACTATTATTGATTTACAAAAAAAATAGTACAAGCCAACAAAAAAAAACAACAATCGCAACAGTAATGAAAAATAACAATAACAATAATTAATAATTCTCTCACAATCGGGTTCATATATAAATTAAAAATTGAAAGTTATTTAACCACGGTTTTACTAAATAACCATGATAAAATTTTAAATTTATATCACGGTTTTTCTTTGTAAGTGTGATGAAAAGTGATATATTATATCACGCTTTTTCTTTATAACCGTGATGAGATGTGATATTTTTTACTATATAAGCGAAAGTATCGTTCAGTACATAATAGTCATTTCTCTCAAATGAAAACCCTAACATATTTCACTCTTCTCTCTCATAATATAATCCTAACATACATGTCACTCTTTAAACTTTCTTAAATCTTCAGATTCGTCTTCACTAATCGCTATGATACTCTTTAATCATATTTCAGGTTTGCTCATTAAACTTATGCTTCAATTTCATTTATATTTCTTCTTAAAAATGAGTTCTCATTTTTTTATTTCGTGAATGTTCTCATTTTTCCAGATTCAACTTCACCACCTTCACAAAGTGATACTTTGGCTATGATACATATGGTTTGTATAGTTATGAAGAAAAATACAAGAAGTATGAAGTTATTGTGTTAACTTCATTCACCTTGTACTTCTTCTTCATAGCATCATAAACTAGATGAACATCATAATTTGTTCCAGATCCACGATTAGTTTGAAAAAATGTGTGTTCTTTAATCATTATATAATATCTTGTGTTGTTGTATGTTGTTTTTGTTGTATGTTCCTATTGTTGTTCTTGAACCTTATTTTGTTGTATGTTGTTGTGTTGTTGATAAATGTTGTTGTATGTTGTTGTTGTTGTTGTTGTTGTTGTTGTTGTTGTTGTTGTTGTTGTTGTTGTTGTTGTTGTTGTTGTTGTTGTTGTTGTTGTTGTTGTTGATTAATGTTTTAAGAACAAGACCAAAACATTGCTAAGCCGCAAGAAAGAATCTTCTTGTGACTTAGCAATGTTTTGTTGTTTAAATTCTTAAAACATTACATATTATCTTGTGTTGTTGTATGCTGTTGTATGAAGTTGAGTTTATTATATGCTATGTAGATTATTTGTTTCACTAACCCTTCACTGAAAATAAATTTCATTTAAATTGATATAGAAATTTATAATCTGAAAATTAATTTGTATTTGAAAACCAACTTATATCAATCAATATTTTTCGAATTGCATCCATCTCATCATTCATCTCACGCTGTTTAACATATAGAATATGAGTCAATGACCTGAGTCCTTCATCATATCTATATCTTTTCTTAGAGTGTAATTTGAATGACAATAATTTATTGATATTATTCAACTTAAACTAGAATAGAAGGAATTGATTTCATGAAGGACTTAGACCATTGAACCACATTCTATATGTTAAACAACGTGAAATGAACGGTGAGACGAATGCAATTCGGAAAATAGTGGCTTGTTTAAGTTGGCTTTCAAGAATATTTTAATTTTCATATTATATACTTCTTCATCAATTTGAATGGTTGTATGTGTTAGAACACAGATTGGTTCTTAATAATATCTCTATGTTTTGATGATAACTATTATGAAATTTTGTAGTTAAGAATTATGTACTCTAAAATTTGCTTAAGAATGTTTGTTGCAGGTATTAAAGTAAATATCACTCCAGAAGCAAATCAGATCTGAACATAAGAAATATGCAAGGCTCTGAAGCGTCAGAACCATCCCTTAGAAGATTTTGAACGCTGCAATCAGAAGATCCTAAGTGTTGCCTCCAGAAGGATCTGAAGCAGAAGCTCCAGAAGAATTTGAAGCAAGCCAGAAGCATCTGAACCAATGAAGAATTCTGTATGAAGAGTTTTCAAGCATAGTTACTTCAGAAGACTCTGATAGTACTAACGCTGCCAGTACTGAGGATCTGACCCAAAACTCTGGTCTGAACTTATACACGCTAAAAGCACACTTGCTGCAAAGACTCTGATTCAGCAAAACTCTGATCAACATCAGAAGGCTCTGATCAAATTAGACTCTGATGATTCTTGCTGAAAATTGTTGAAGAAGAATTCAAAGATTATGTCCGTTGGAATATCCAAACGACTCTTTCCTTATTTATGCTAGACACAAGAACACAGACAAAAAGGATTTCTCTGTGCTTTCTTCTTCTAGGAAAGGTCACTTGATGTTAAGACAAAAAAGGCTCAGATCTTTTGGTACACTCTTCTCAACGTGAAAAAATCTTGGATCACTGTGCCTATAAAAGCAAGTCTCCACTCATCTTCTTCAGTTGACGAAATACTTGAAAAGAATTCATTATCAAAAGCTCTCATACAACTCATATATTCTTGCTAGAATTATTTCATTGTTCTTAATCTTTAGTGAAAAATCACAGTTGTGATAAAGCTTTATTAGAAGCATCTTAACACTTGTATTTATTATTACATTTGATTGTAAGAAAACCTTAAGAAGATCCAGTTAGGATTAGTAGTTCTTGAGAAGACTTTGAACAGTTGTTCTTAGTGCTTACTATTGTAATCAGTTAATTAAATAGTGGATTAAGTCCTTGATTGAGAAAGGCAAATCACTCTAGAAAGGGTGGACTGGAGTAGTTGAGTCCAACGAA